TACTGCCAACTATAGTAGCTTCCATTTTATTTTCCATTATCCCAATATAACCCCAATATATACCCTATATAGCCCATTATAGTAGTTTCCATTCTATTTTCCATTATCCCCATATAGCCCCAATATACTACCAATGGGTTGCTTCTCATGAATTTGGATCATGGCACTCACAGCACGACTAGACTCATCTCGTTCGTGGCCGGTGGCATTGTGAATGCTTGTAATCTTGTGGACGATCGTTGTCATGGGTTCCTATCATTTGTGTTCTGGACATTCCATCTCTTGCGACATGGTGTTTAAGGCTTCTGCCCTCATCTCTGTGTGCTGCACCATTGATCTCCGGACCTCTGCAACAAGACGCACTTCTTTGCAGAGTAGGGATGTCAGGGTCTCTCACAGGATCCCCATGATGCAAGTTGCAATGGCACGTGCTACTATTCGGTCACATACTAGCAGAGGGCTAAGTAGTTAGGCCGAAAGCATCAGTAAGTGTTCTTTTGATCCTAGAATCCTGCATGACCCCACGTACCCTAGATCTTGTCAATTATAGATCCTTTTTGTATACATTTTTGCTGCATCATGCAGGATTTCTAGCATTCTCGGCAATTAGCCCTCTTCATAGCTGCATACATGTACGAGGCGGATGACCGTGCGGTATGCCTGACCTTTGTCGTTGCACACAATGCACAAGGACTTGGCAGTTGATTTGCAGTTTGCAGGGGTGCTTCCTACGCGACTAACTTACAAAAAAACATGACACTTCTTGAAATTCCAATTTCCTATACATACCCAAGCACTGTACTCCTCACAAGGAGCAATCATTTTTGATACAGCTTAGGCAGCCTCATCAAGACGTGCTTAGCTAAGCATGCAATAAGCACCTATGGCCGAGGGACTCTGGTGATATTGGGGTTTTCTAGGGAGAATGGAAAAGAACATGGAAACTACTATGGTACATTGGGATCCTATAGGGCATGTGGAAAAGTACATGGAAACTACTATGGTACAGTGGGATCCTATTGGGACAGTGGAAAAGAACATGGAAACTAGATTATGATAAAATCCTGGGATGTAAGTTTTTGTGGCCCGCTGGTCTGAGCAGGCAATAGCAGAACGTTGAGTGTCAAAAGTAGTTCCCTCTACAAGCAGCAGTAAGGGCTGTGTCGCAACACTTGATCAACTGGCAGTTTCTCAGAGTGGCGGCTTGCAAAAGTTGGGGCCCATGCAAGTACAGTAGCTTCTTTCTGAGGGCTGCTCCGCTTGCAGGCCTTGCTCTTTGTTGATCTTGTGCCAATCTTGCTGGTCGTACCCTGCATGACAAAATTTGGGGGAGTTTAGGGCTTTGGGCTTAGGCTTAAAATCGGGCATGTGGGGCTGGCTTCAAATGCTTCAGGGATTGACGAGCTAGTTGGAAGCAGGACAGCTGGCTGCATTGCGAAACACTCCATAACAAAACCTCTACTGTGCGGGTGTCATTTCATAACCTGTATTTTTTTTCCTAGGGTGCTTTCCTACGGAGGTTTGACAGAGGCCACGAACGCACCCCGCACCCTCTGAAAGAATCGAAATCCTGAACCCTCCATGTCCCCATAATCCCTCCCCAACCCTAAATCCTAAACCCTTTCCTCTAAATCTTCAACCCTAAACCTCAAATCCTAAACCCTAAATTCTAAATCCGAAGCCCCAAATCCTAAACCCTTTATCTTTAAGCCTAAGCCATAAATCCTAAACCCTAAATCTTTGACCCTAAACCCAAAATCCTTAACCCTAAATTGCACGCCCGCCTTCTTGCCATAGTGGCAGCCCGGGCTCGTATGGCAAGCCGTAGTCAATGCAGTAGAGGACCAAATCCTCAACATATCGTTTAGGGGTTTAGGGTTTAGAATTTCTTTTATATCGGAGCCATCATCTAGGGGGATATATAGGGTTTAGGGTCTAGTCTAAACTCCTTAAAGGGGGTTCTATATATATAAATATATAGATATTTTTTTATCCCAATACTGAAGAATCAAATGGAAAAGAAAAATCCTGAACATATAATATGGGAGTTTCCTAAAAAATAGGGTCCCCTTCCATTCAAGGGGTTATTGTAGGGGTTATAGTTATATAGTCCAATATAGGGATATCCAGGGTTTAGGGTTTAAAGTTTCCTAAAATCAGGGCTCCCCTTTCAAGGAGTTGTAGGGGTTATAGTTATATAGTCTAATATTGGGGCATCTAGGGTTTAGGGTGTAAATTTTCTCAAATTAGGGGTACCCTTCTTGGGGAGATCAGACTCTCTCAAGTATTCTTGACGATGTGGCGTGTGCTCACAGGGTATGATGCAGACAGCCGAACCCTTTTCAGACGACTGGCTGCAAAGTACTCTTCACAATGAATGCCGGGTGCATCTAATTCGACGTCCGTCTCGGACCTATGGCGGAGGCTCGTCCAAGCCTGGGAGAGTCGTACGCGGCCTTGAAATGCGCTTCGGCAAGGGCTCTGGGAATTTAAAAACCACAACAATGGCGGCAG